AGGCGCAAAGGGCACGGGAGTGCAGTCCTTCCTGGCCCCTCTCTCCATAAAACCCAAATCAAGGACGACGTCTCCGGATCTTCCCCTGCCCTGAACACACACACTCTTCACACACCACAACATACACACTTGCTGAGCCCACACTCGTGCACACCGCCCCATCCCACACAACGTGAACACTTACTTGCTCACCCCAGCAAGCACGCCGGCCCCCACAGTGTGTACCTGCCTTCGAGTCGCACGCCTGCACACCTGTACAGACACTTGCCCCCCCCACCTCTGCATTCCTGCACCCTACACCTGCCCGAGTGCACCCGCACCGGCTCGCCCCTCCGCCCCGCCCCGCCGCCTGTCCCCCGCCCTCCAGTCACCCTGTCCGCACCCCGCCAGGCCACCGCCCGCCGCACTCACCAGCGCCCGCGCTCGCCGCCCCGCGCCGCCCCGGCCTGGGCCCGACGCCCCGCTCCGGCCCGCCGCTCCAGGGCTGGCCCGCCCGCCGCCGCCGCTTCCCGTCACGTGGGCGGCCGCCCGGCGCCGGCGAGGGCGACGCGACCGTGCCGCGCGCCCGCGGCCTGCGGGCCGCCGGCCTCGCGCCGGGCCCAGGCCGAGGCGGGCCCCGCTCCGGGCCTCAGGGCCGCCATCTGTTCACCGGGACCCCCACAGTGCCTGGCTCGCGGGGCGGCCCGGGGGTGCGGGGCGTTCATTCGGGGAAAGAGCCCACAACGCCGCCCGGCCCCCGGCGCGCGCTCAGTCGGCGCCAGCTCCGAGCGCTGCTGGGGTTAAGGTACCTTCTCCTCCCCGACCGGCGCGGCAGGCGCTCGGGCAATGCCTGCTGAATGAATGAATGAATGAATCCCGGTGATCGCCTGGCCCCGCCGACACCTGACAGCGAGGGCTCGTGGCACCGACTGGCTGGCGGTGCTCCCGGCCGAGCTGGACCGCGCCTCGGGCACGGAGCCGCCCATCCCCCAGGCCCGCGGCTGGTCGGGCCGAGGCCCTGAGGAGCTGCCAGAGGGCAGGAGCGCATCTGCGTGGTGCACTTAGTCAAGGAGGCAGTCCTGGGACTGTTTCACCCACTCCTCCTAGGAGAGTCCGTCGATGGCTATTACTTTGGGTCAGCACACAATGAAGAACCAAAGGTTTCCATGAATCCAGAAACCGCTCTTCCATATATAATCAAAATCCAATTTCATGATGAAAGAATCGAAAAGCCCCCTCCAGAATTGGCAGTGCTCAATTATTAGCATATAAAAAGCCAAGTTTTCCCTGTGATTTTCACTGACTTTAGAACCCAACTAATGACCTTTGGCCTCAGCTTTGTTGTAAAACAAAGATGTCATCCCAGGTCTGAAGGCAGATACAGAGTCTACTCTGTGATCTTCTGTTATCATGGGGCAAAAAAACATGGACAAAGAAAAGTTAAAAAAAAAAAAAGAAGAAGAAGAAGAACTATCAAGAATTAATTTTCTGCAGCGGGAGGATCGGTTGAGGCCAGGAGTTCCAGACCAGCCTGAGCAACGTAGCGAGACCCTGCCTCTACAAAAACAAAAGTAAAAATTAGCTGAGCAGGCTGGCATGCGCCTGTAATCCTAGCTACTCAGGAAGCTGAGGCAGGAGGATCTCTTGAGCCTGAGAGTTTAAGGTTACAGTGAGCAATGTTGACGACATTACACTCTAGCTGGGGTGACAGAGTGAGACCCTGTCTCAAAAACAAATATGCCCTGGCCCCAGACAGTGCTGCTTCAGCTGGGACCCAGAGTCACTGGCTCAGCCTCAAGGTGGGAAACCCGTTTTCCAGCAGTGTAGAGCTGTGACCAGCAATGGATCTTCAAGGACAAATAGTGCCAGTAGAGCCAGGGAGGGAGAAAGCACCAGAACAAATCCACCCCAGTCTCCTCATTTTACCCAGGCCTACGGAGAATGTGTGACTTATCATCAACTAAGCACTGACAAAGCTGGGCTTAGAATACACATTTGTGCTTTTCCATTTTAGTGCTCTACCACAGAGAGCTGCACCAGACTAGTTGCAGAGGTGACATATGACTGCCAGACACTGAGCTAAGTGCTTTACAGTGATGATCTCATATGCCTCAACATACCTTGGTAACTTAATAGGGTACCTTAATTTAAGTAGGGTAACTTAATTTCCCATTTTACAGAGGAGTTGACTGAGGCAATGAGAGAGAGGTTAATGACTTGTCCCAAATCCCATGCTAGTAAGAAACAGAGAAATTACAAGAATTCAGAATTCAACAACACAGTGATTTTTTAAAATATAAAATTAGGTTGTATTGGTTGAATAGTTTATGGAACAATCTTTGTGTCCCACTTTAGGTGATCTAGGAGTGAAAATGTATAATAACAAAAAAGATAATTCAGAAATAATTTACTTTATGAAAAGATTTACCATAGCATTCTTAGACTAGCAAGCTCCACATGTGCATGTTATTCTATCTAGAAACATCTTCTCTTTCTGGAACTTGTTAAGAAGTCTATGTCACAAATGACAGGCATCTATAGGTAAATGCCTATACTATAAACACGGGCATATTTGTACATAGACTAACTCTAAATTCCTTGGATTGTTTCTACTGATTCTGTTTAAGAAGAAATATCAAAGTCATGGTTTTCAAATGAATTATCAACTTCATTTATTAATATTTATTAAATATTCCTTGGGCCCATACCAAACATGTTAAGAGTATTTGATAGAATGTGAAAAAGATGTGTTCAAATAGAAGATTAATGAGATTAAGAGTTGTATAGATACAACTGAATGCTTTAATGGTTGCTGTCTACTACCAAAACTTAATGTCTCATACTTCCACATAACCTGTGCTTCTCTCACTTCCTCACCGGGTATACACTCAGGGGGCAAGCAGCATGGCCACTGTATTTTCTCCTGTATCTTGCTGCATGTAGAAAGCACTTAACCAATTTTTAAAAATTTTTGATGGTCAACATTGTTGAATATGATTATCTTTAAAAGAAGTTTTTAACACTGAGATTCTGTTATCCTGATGTATAAGCTCCTTTAAAACACACACATCTGGGATGCTTGGAGTTATTTTAGAATATGATGTTAAGCAGTTACATTTATGACATTTTTAAAGCAAACATAGCTTACTATGTACCATATTTTAAGAGCTTTTATATGTATTAGCTCGTTTAATCATATAAACATACACATTCATATACTTGAAATCTAGTTTCAGTAAAATGAACTTTTTGAATGGTTTATTTATTTATTTATTGAGACTGTCTCACTCTGTTGCCTAGGCTAGAATGCTATGGCATCAGCCTAGCTCACAGCAACCTCAAACTCCTGGGCTCAAGCGATCCTCCTGCCTCAGCCTTCCAAGTAGCTGGGACTATAGGCACGTGCCACTGCGCCCTGCTAATTTTTTCTATTTTTAGTTGTTTAGCTAATTTCTTTCTATTTATAATAGAGACAAGGTCTTGCTTTTGCTCAGGCTGGTCTTGAACTCCTGAGCTCAAGCAATCCTTCCGCCTGGGCCTCCCAAAGTGCTAGGATTACAGGCTTGAGCCACTGCACCCAGCCTGAACTATATTATTCAAATCAACTATTTCTTGAGCAGGACCTATGTGCCAGGTACTTTGCCAGAGGCTGGAGGGGGATACTGAAATGAGGAAGACAGTCTCTGCCTTCAGGCAGCTTAATGTAGTACAGTGGCTTGTAGGGTATGGTTGCTAACCAGCAGTATCAGTATCACCTCCAAACCTGTTAGAAATGCAAATCCCTGTGCCCCACCCCAAACCTTCTAAATCAGAAACTCTGGGGGTGGGGGCCAGCAAACTGTTTTTTTTACAAGCCTTCTAGGCGATTCTAATGCTCACTCAATTTTGAGAACCACTGGATTCATGGGATGTGGAAGAGAAATGCCACCCAACCAGATAACAAGGCAAAAAAATAATGTGCTATAGAGGTGTAGTGACAGGGGAACTCAGGAAGTATCTGAGGATTGGGAAAGATTCATTCATTTGTATTCATTTAGCACACACTTAATGTTTTGTCTCCTCAAAATTCATATGTTGAAACTTAATCCCCAAGGTGATGGTATTTGGAAGTGGGGACTTTAGTAGGTGATTATAGTTCATGAGGATGGAGCCCTTATGAATGGGATTAGTGCCCTCATAAAAGAAGCCCAAGAGAGGCTGTTTGCCCCTTCCACCTTGTAAGAGGGAGCTACAAGGAATATTCTATGATGAATGAGCCCTCACCAGAGACTGAATCTACCAGTACCTTGATCTTGAATTTCCCAGCCTCCAGTCCTATAAAAAAGAAATTTCTCTTGTTGATAAGCTACCCAGTCTATGGTATTTTGTTACAGCAGCCTGAAATGACTAAGAAAATGGATTTATAAGAAAGTCAGCAGTTTAAATGCATTTTCATTATGATCTAGTTGTAAATGGAATGAGAAATGACAATTTAAAAAAGTCGTCATTCAGGAATTCCTCCTCGAACAAAAAAAAAAAAAAAAAAGTCGTCAATTAACTGTGAGGTTTTTTGTTTGTTTGTTTTTTTGAGGCAGAGTCTCACTCTGTTGCCCGGGCTAGAGTGCCGTGGAGTCAGCCTAGCACACAGCAACCTCAAACTCCTGGGCTCAAGGGATCCTACTCCCTCAGCCTCCCGAGTAGCTAGGACTAACAGGCATGCATCACCATGCCCGGCTAATTTTTGCTATATATTTTTAGTTGGCCAATTAATTTCTCTCGCTCTTGGTCAGGCTGGTTTCAAATGCCTGACCTCAAGCGATCTGCCTCAGCCTCCCAGAGTGCTAGGATTACAGGTGTGAGCCACCGCGCCTGGCCTTAACTGTGTTCTAAATAGCTAAAAATATAGGTCTAAATGTGAAGTACTGCTTAAACTGTTAACTTCAGTTTGAAGCTCCTTAATTGTATTTATGCTAAGGTATTTTTGATAACTAATACAATATTTGTAACATAAATATCCTAAATATTACACAAGAATCAGCATCCAGAATCCTCAGTATATATTTTATTCATAATGTATTCATTCCACAAACATTTTTTGAGCACCTACTAAGCACAAGCACTTTGTATGCTAGTGGCTAGGGGAAAGAGTCAAGGAAATGTATTAACCCTGCTCTAGAGGAACCTACCACCTAGTAATATTACCATATCAGGCAGGGCAGTGTTTGTTGGTTCCTCTTAGCTTTGTCCTTGTCAACTATAGCCACCAAATAAAAATGCTAATGAATAAAACCTCACAATCTTTAAGTGAAGTGAGAATCCTCACAATACTAAGCTTAAAATGTTTAGTGCCTTATGGCTACTATATAATGCTCACAGATAATACTGTGGTAAGAATGAGATTCAGTCTACAAACTCAAATATGTAATAAATAACATTTTTTTCTGTAACTGAAACTGATTTCTACTTAAAGGCGCCATTTAGCTGCAGTGACAATAATCTTATCAATGGGAGGGAAGATCTCTTCCTTTCCCCAGGGCTGTATCCAGGCTGGGATGATTTCTGAAGTGCCAAGATGAGAAGATGTCAGGTCCATGGGTCACTGGTTCCCACAGAAATTCTGAGATGTTCCTTGTCCACTCTGGTGTTTCGTTTTCAGTGTTTTGGTTTCAGGCTTGAGGGTTGGGGATATCCGTGGGTTCATTTGCATGCAGTGTGGCAGAAATCTCTGTGAGGTAACCCTTCTGTTTAGACATATTTGAAGCATCACTATAGAACTTGTTAGAAATGCAAATTCAAGGGCCTCCCTACCAACCTAAGTCAGAAACTGACTAAAATGCCTTTAGCAGACTGCAAATTCTCCCAGGCTCCATTCTACAAAGGTGCTGCCCAGGAAGGAGTGGGCAGGCATTACCAAACAGCCTCTCCTTCCCTTGGACAGGGGAGGGACAGTGTACGAATCTCCTTCTAGTTCTTCCCCTCTTAATCTTGATTTGTTGTTGTTGTCTCTGAGGATACTTCTTCTATCCTGAGATATAAGCGTCAGAGGCGCCTAAAATAATATAAATAAAATACATTTAGTTTTAAGTAAGGTAGTATTCTTACTCTGGGAAATACTGGGAGGGGAAAAAAAAAGATCTTACCTGATACAAAACATTTTTGCAGATGAAGAACTTGAGGCTTCAGGTTATTGGTTCAGAAAACCACAGGGAGAAAGAGCACAGCAAGAACCTGTAACCACATTTTCAGACTATTAAACTCAAGATGTTTTCCTCTTATGCCACCATCCTGTCACCTCTCTTCTTTGATGACAATCAATAGACTACAACGTATCTCCATGTAGAGCCAACAGGAGAGGCATTTCACAGACCTTAGCTCCAATCCTCACAACACTAGCATTTTAATTTCCATCTCAGAGGTGAGGAAGTTACAGCTGGGGGAGAGACAATATATGTCCTAGATGAGTACAAGACCAAGGATTATAATCCATCTCTGGACCACTCCAAAGCCTGCCCTTTCTCTCCTTCCCTAGACTGTCTCCTTAGACGGAAAACTTTCTAATAACTAGCTACTGGTTCTTAAGCACTTACTCTGCACCACTGATCATTCTTTACAGGTGTTAGCACAGCATTTTCCTGAAGAGGGGACTGAGGCTGAGAGACTAATTCACCCAAAGGCTTGGTACAGCAGAATAAAATTTGAACTGAGGACTGCTTTCAAGCCCAGGATGCTTTCAAGGTAGCTGCTTTAACACTAAAACAATGTGCCTCCCTGTGAAGGAAATGGAGATAATAATACCAATTACACTAATCTCACTATTGTTATGAAAATCAAATCAGATTTTGGATATGGAGTATCATGATATTAATACCATGAAGCTAACATACTCAACTCCAACTTAGGACATTCAAATACTTGACTCAGCTCAGTTTTAAGACTGTTCAATTTGGAGTGAGTCATTTAATCTCTTTCAGATCAGCTTCCTTGTCACTAAAATGAAAGAACCAGACTGAGTAACTTTTAAGTTTCCTCCCAGCACTGACATTTAGTTTCTAGACATTCAGTAATATATATATGATTATGAAAAAAACACAGAAAGCCTCTCAGCTTTATCTTGCCTCCCCCCCCCCCCCAGGAGACAGAGTCTTGCTTTGTTGCCAGGGCTAGAGTGCAGTGGCATCAGCCTAGCTCACAGCAACCTCAAATTCCTGGCTCAAGCAATCCTCCTGCCTCAATCTCCCAAGGAGCTGGGACTACAGGCATGTGCCATCATGCCTGGCTAATTTTTTGTTTGTTTCTATTTTTAGTTGCTCAGCTAACTTTTTGTTTTTAGTAGAGACGGGGTCTCACTCTTGCTGAGCTGCCTCTCAAACTCCTGACCTTGAGCAATCTTTCCGCCTTGGCCTCGGGGAGTGGGAGTGCTAGGATTATAGGCATGAGCCACCGTGCCTGGCCTAGCTTGTCTTTTTGACTCAGTATCTCACTTATTTTCTAGTACTCTTTCAAGGTTTATCTTTTGGCATCCTCAGAGTTGTATTTTTGTACACACTGTCATAATTTCCAATAAAATGATACACTATATAGGATGCAAATAGTAAGAATATTCAGAACATGTCTGCAATTTTAAGTTTTAAATGTGCAAACTATTTGGGGATGTACATTTCGCCTATGAATAATGTAAGAGGAGGCAGTAGACCATAATTGACACCTACAACAATTTCATTTAAAACGGTTACTGCGTTGTAGTTATTAATAAGTACAGAGAAAATTTACTTGACTTTTAGTTTTGCTACTTCCTCACTCTGTGATACTGAGAAAATGATCTTTTTTACACCGCTATTTCCTCACCAGAAAAACAGGCGTTTTAGTAATTTACACCTCAAAGCTGTTCTGAGAAATGAAATAATCCATGTAAAACACAGTACCTGGCACACAGTAAATCTCTAACAAACGTTTAGCTGATACTGCTGGCGTTTCCCAGCTGGTTATTATTTTCCACATATGAGCAGGTTAATTCAGAGTATTATTTCAGGAACAAATACTTGGATACCTACATGTCCAAGGCGTCGGGGTTACTGGGAATTAATTAACGTCTATGGCCTTACTGGGCTTACATTGTATAAAAGGCCGCTTAGGAGACAAAATATTTTTTTTTTTTTAAATATCGTTAAAAAAAGAAAGAACCAAGAGAATTTCAGACACCGCTAGTGGCATATTTAGAGTAACGTCTATGGGCCCCGCGCGCCGGATCCTTTCCCTCGAGACTGCCCCAGAAATCCCTTTGGCCTCTGCCACTAGACGTCATAGGAGGCGCGACCGATCGTAGCTGGATTCGCGAACTTCTCTCTTCTTTCTCTTCCTACAAAACTTGACAAGCCATTCGTTTCTTCGTCGGACATCCCTATCTCCTCTCCCACCCCCTGGAGTACTCGTCCGCAGGCGCAGGCAGTGGAACCCCCATCCAGATGGGAAAAGTGGGACAAGGGGCGCGGCACGCGGCGCATTCAGAGTGACGACACACTCCAGTCTCCACTTATAGTACGTCACTTCCGGAACGCTTCCTTCGCGGAGCCTTGTGGGTAGGCGGCCGGGGTCTCCTGGCGACGACGATGGCGGGGGATGTGGGCGGTCGCAGCTGCACGGACTCGGAATTGCTGCTGCATCCGGAGCTGCTGTCTCAGGAGTTCCTTCTCCTCACTCTAGAGCAGGTTGGGTGCGCCAAGGTGGAGGGAGGGCGGACGGGTGGGCCTCCCGGGTGAGGCACTCGCACCTGAGCTCATCCCAAATAGCTCTCGGTGATGACGGACACTCCCGTCGTAGTCATTCCTCCCGCTCGGTTGTACCACTCTCCAAACACACAGACCAGCCAGGTGTCCCCTAACTCCCGTCCCTCATCCCCTGACCGAAAAAGAGACGTCCTCCAAATATCAGGAATTCCTGGGAAGTAGGACTTAACCTCTCTGAGTTTTTGATAGCTCAGAAAGAGGAGTCCTAAGGCGACCCCCCACGGCCTGTTTGTGAGCAAGGGCCTGAGGAAGAGAGGGACTGGGGAAGAAATGAAGAAGAATAGGTACGGAGGGTAGAAGTCATGGACCGTCAGAGCTGGAAAGCATCTGAGAAATCGTCCATTCTACACCTCTTACCTCGTTTAAAGATGAACTGAGTGAAATTGAGTCCCAGAAAGATGAAGTGACTCGTTTAAAGTCACACTGTAAATGGTACTGCCAGGATTCAGAGCTCCTGGCTCTATGTTGCTCTTGCTGTTTTTCAGCTTCTGTGGCCTCTGATAATAGGGGAAAATTCAGAAAAGAAAAAAGTGATAAGTTTTGTTTTAAGTGGCAGAGAATTACTCTGTGGCATATTTTATGTGGCATATTTTGTTGTTTTCCATGTGGCTTTCCTGTTAGTACCCTATCTTTCTCTAATTTCTTCAAGCCTTCTTGCTAAAGAGATTATTTTAACCCTTTGCACTCGCTTGCTTTTTTTCTCGATTCCTTTATTCCACTCGGGATTTAATTTTTTTTAATACCCCAGATTTTACAAAGCGTGGCAGTCGAATAAAAAACGAGTTTCTTTTCATACAAACTTATTTATTTGGATTTTTTATTTTTCAAATTATTGATACATTCAAAGAGTAATTTTAATCTCTATAATTTTTCATGGTGTGATATTTTTTGAAGCATTCACCCACATGAAGACATGATTTACATTCACATGTTTTGCAAATATAAATCGTCTCTCTTCTTCCTCCTTTGATTTTTCTGTTAGAACAAACAACACAATCTTTGTGTTTTTTGTTAGGGTGAGGTGTGATTATATGGAGCTTTCTATCTAAACGTTGCTCTAAGTTAGTGGATAATAATCTACCCCTAGAAGTTAGTATACCATCTCTGCATTTACATTTTACTTGTCCTTTCATGCTAATGAAAATAAGAAAAGATACTGGAAAAATAGACAAAAATCCCCCTTCCCCCAGCGATGTAACTACCTGTCAAGTGTGGCTCGACTTATGAGCTGCTACCGATGCTAACCTCATGCCAGTGCAAAGGGTTAATGATGTCAGTTACCTTTTAACTGTGGTTCTCAAACTTTTAAGTGTAGCAGAATCACTGCACGGCTTGTTGAAACACAGATTGCTGGCCTCCTTCCCCCAGAGTTTCTCATTCAGTAGTTCTGGGATGTGGCCTGAAAATTTTCATTTTTAACCAGTTTTTTATTCTGGTCCAGGGACCACACTTTGAGAACCACTTCCCTAAGGCATTGCTTTCCAAAGTAAGAACTGTGAATCCTCTGGGAATATTGTTCAAGAGAATCCCTAGGGTTTCCCTTACCTCTGAGTAAGTATGGGGTGAGAATCAATTAGTCAGCCCACTGTATGGAAGAGAAAAGTACGCTTTTAAATTTAAAAAGCCATGTGCAGTGGTGCAAACCTATAGTCCCAGCTACTGGGGAGGCTGAGGCAGGAGGATCACTTGAGACTAGCGTGAGCAACATAGTGAGTTTGAATCTGAACACACAAAAAATGAGTTGGGATAAGTTTATCAGAGGACATAGGTTTGTCTTGTCATTTTTACTAAACAAATGTTTTCAAGCGTTTCTGAAGTTGAAGAGCCAACAATCTTCATTCTCCTTCCCAAATCCAAACTTTGTTTCCGGACTCCTGTGACTTATGCTGTATGTTTTCCATGATGTTGAGAACAAATTGGAAAATGGGGGAGAATGAGGTGATTTAGATAGAGATGGTTGGACAGCAACTGGCAGCCACTTGAAAGGACCAGTGAAAACTTGTGGGGCAGGGCAGGCTGTTCTAATGATGTACTACTATTGTCATCAGTAAGGGGATTATAGTTTCATCTTGGTGCTATATGAAATCTTGGTAATTAACATCAATTTAAGAAACATTATATTAGAAAAACATGGGAAATAACATACAGGATGAGACTGAAACCTTTATCCCACTGATTTAATCACAATACTAGCGCTCAAGCTAGCTTATTGGCAGAATGTGGTAATTATTATCATTGTTAACTTTCTTTAGTTTGTTTACCCCGGGCAGTCCCCCATTTTCATACCCTTTTTTTTTTTGAGACAGGGTCTCACTGTGTTGCCTGGGCTAGAGTGCCGTGGCGTCAGTCTAGCTCATAGCAACCTCAAACTCCTGGGCTCAAGCAATCCTACTGCCTCAGCCTCCCGAGTAGCTGGGACTACAGGCATGCACCACCATGCCCGGCTAATTTTTTTATATATATTTTTTTAGTTGGCCAATTAATTTCTTTATAGTAGGAACGGGGTCTCACTCTTGCTCAGGCTGGTTTCGAACTCCTGGCCTCGGGCAATCTGCCCGCCTCGGCCTCCCAGAGTGCTAGGATTACAGGCGTGAGCCACCGCCCCCAGCCTTCATTCCCTTTTATAGATTATGATGATGTTATTGGAAATGGGGCGTTGGCAAGCAGTTGTAGGCAGCAGTCTTTGTCATCCTGAGGAAATGTGACCATTGTCTTTAAGATGAATATTTACAGAGCGTAACCTATGTGTAATACCACTTCTTGCAGTACCTTACAGGACTTTTAAGCATGTGTGTGATTGTGAATATGGTTTTATAATTTGTTATTTAAGTAGTAGTGTTTTATCATGGTGGGTAAGGTGGTTATTAAAATGAAAAATGTTGTTTTGAAATCACTTTTGTTTCCTTTTCCACAGAAGAACATAGCTGTTGAAAATGACGTAAGAATAAACAAAGACAATCTTACTGACCTTTATGTCCAGCATGCAATACCATTGCCTCAGAGGGATCTGCCAAAGAATAGATGGGGAAAATGATGGAAAAAAAAGAGAACAACATGAAATAAAAATGAGACTAAAAGGTACTTTTTAGTTGTTCTAGTTTTCATTATCTTATATGACTAAACAGTTCTGTTTTTGTTTTTTCCCCAAGTAAACGTAAGTAAAAACTATTGATTTACTCAATAACTATCTTTTTTTTTTTTTTTTGAGACAGAGTCTCTCTCACAGCAACCTCAAACTCCTGGGCTCAAGCAATCCTCCTGCCTCAGCCTTCCAAGTAACTGGGACTACAGGCATGTGCCACCATGCCCAGCTAATTTTTTCTATATATTTTTAGTTGTCCAGCTAATTTCTTAGTGAGAAAATGAGAATTTCCGTAGAGAGACCTGTAGCAAGTAGAGAGCAAGCTAGCGTTCCAGGCAGAGTACAAGAACCTGATTGGAATTGTGGGCCATCATATATCCAGGAACAGCAAAGTGGCATCAGGGCTGGAGTGAAGAAGAATAGGAGGAAAGAGATCTGTTGGTGGTGGAGTGGGAAGATAGTCAGGTCATGGAAGCTTTACAAGTCATTGTGAAAACTTTGGCTTTACTGAGATGGAGAACACTAGAGGGTTTTCAGCAGAGTGGTAACACCGTCAGATGTACATTTTAACAGCATCACTCTACCTGCTGTCCTAAGATGGTGATTTAAGGTATGTGTGGGGGGGAGGGTTGTGCAAGGGTGGAAGCAGGAATCAGTTAAAGAGCTGCTGGCTGTAGTACAGGTAAAGCAATGATTTTACTAAGGTATAATTTGGTAGTGGTCTGGATGATTTTGGAGGTAGACCATAAATTTGCTGAATTTTAGAAGAAAAAAAAAAAAGGTGCGTCAAGTAAGAACTCTAGGGGTCTTTGATATACATGAGAGAGGAGCCTGTCAGTCTGTTAGTTGGTGTGAAAGTAATTGTGCTTCACCCATGAACTTTAAATATTATGACTAGGCTCAAACACATCTTTATAAAATAAAGAAAACCATTAAGGCCAGCGTGGTGGCTCACGGCCTGTAATCCTAGCCACTCTGGGAAGGCCAAGGAGGGAGATCGTGGGAGGTCAGAGTTCTAGAACAGGCCTGAGCAAGAGTGGACCCCGTCCTACTAAAAAATAGAAAGAAATTAGCCGGCCAACTAAAATATATAGAAAACGTTACCAAGATGGTAGCACATGCCTGTTAGTCCAGTATTTGAGAGGCTGAGGCAGAAGATTGCTTGAAGCCAGAGTTTTGAGGTTGCTGTGAAGCTAGCTGATGGCACTTGCATTCTGCCCGGGCAACAGGAGTGAGACTCCTGTCTCAAAAAAAAAAAAAAGAACATTACAATCAACACATTTTGTCAATGGGAGAAATAAGTGTTATTCCTTTAGCATTAAAAAATCCATTCTTCATGATTTGATGAACTCTTGGAAAGGATTTTGCTCCTGCTTGTTGTGGCAGTGTTTTCCAGCCAAAAGTTGTCGAGATGCTTAAGAATGTCATTGTTGGTTGGCAAAGAGGTCAGGTGAATATGGCTGATGAGGCAAATCTTGCCCTCATTCAGCTTTTAAAGCATGGGTATGCAATGTGCAGTAGGAGTTGTCGTGGAGGAGAATGGGCCCTTTCTCTTGACCAATGCAGCTGCAGGCATTGCAGCTTTCAGTGCATCTCATTGATTGCTGAGCATACTTCTCAGCTGTAAGTACCAAGATTCATTAAACTGTAGTGGATCAGACTGGAGCAGACCACTAAACGGGTGATCAATGACCTTTTGTGGTACAAGTTTGGCTTTGAGAAGTCCTTGGAGCTTCTTGTCCAACCACTGTGCTGGTTATCGCTGGTTGTCGTATAATATCCACTTTTTGTCGCTCATCACAATCAATCCAGAATGTCGTTGTGCATACAAGAGAAGAGGGGGGGGGGGCAGATGATACTCAAAACGAATTTTCTTTGATTTTCGGTCAGCTCATGAGGCACCCACTTATTGGAGCTTTTTCCATTTGCCTTCAAATGCCGAAGACTGTAGAATGCCGTCAATGTTTTGGCTACGGTAAGAGGATCAGCTTCCATATGCTTCAATTGGTTTGTATAACTTTCCCTGGCCCACCATGCAATCTTCATTGTCAAGACTCTCATCTCCTTTGCAAAACTTCTCGAACCCCCCCCCCCCACCATATATTTTTAGCAAATATAGGCCAAATGCATTGTGTTGCAGTTGTCTCCACTCGCTTACAAACCATTTTGAACTCAAATAAGAAAATCAGGCCTGGGCGTGGTGGCTCACACATTATCCCCAGCACTCTGGGAGGCCAAGCGGGAAGGATCGCTCAAGTCAGGAGTTTCAAAACAGTCTGAGCAAGAGTGAGACCCATTCTCTACTAAAAATAGCAAAGAAATTTAATTGGACAACTAAACTATTATATAGAAAATTAGCCGGCATGGTGGGCATGCCTGTAGTCCCAGTTATCGGGAGCTGAGCAGAAGGATTGCTTGAGCCTAGGAGTTTGAGGTTGCTGTGAGCTAGGCTGATGCACGATGGTATTCTAGCCCCGGGCAACAGGAGTGAGACTCTGTCTCAAAAGAAATCAGTTGAATTTGCTTTTTGGCTCTACATCATTCCATGATCTAAAATAATATAAAATAAACAGCAATAATATCTTAGCCAAAAAAAACAAAGCAAGAAATGTGCATTAAATGAACATAACATCATTATTTAAGAACGTATCAATAAATAAAGGGCAAATGCCAACAATGCTAAAAATGCAATTATTTCTGCACCAACCCTAACAGCTTCAGACATGCTACTTTTAAAATTTGTAAACTTCAGAAATTTTTTATAAAACCAAAGCAATATGAATTTCCTGTTTTAAAGAAAATTAGTTATTTGATTGGCTCAGTGTTTAGTTAATGTGACAAAGTAGCCTAAATCCCTAGTTACCTCTTCATGTCTGTTATATCACAGTGGTGTATTGATCAATTCTAATTTGTTTTGGGGCCTTTCTATTGTAAGGCATGTTGGTAGGCAGTGCACTAGAGACGCCTGGTAGAAGACAGTAAGACGGAAAGGGCGCGGGTAAAGGGAACAGGTGTCGGTGCAAGCTTAGTTGCGTGTAGTTTTAATCTGTAGTTATTAAAGGCAAACACGACGTCCTTGAGATTCTATCCCCACA